CAGTGATTTGTCTAAAAGCCGACACTTAATACTTAATGTTAGTGATGAGTCGAATTACACAAAGTGAGAAAGGTCTCATGAAAAACACCAATTTAGAATCAATTCATTCATATACGAAATGGCAGTGTTCACATCTAAAATATTTACGAAATGTTAAAAAGAAGGGTGGCTATCGTAAATAACTAATTAATTATCCCTAATTGCTTAATTATGTATTTAATCAACAATTAGCTTGTCTGCTAGTAGGTAATTAGGCATCTCGTTTATAACTAGAAAATTTTAAATATAAAATTTACAAACTAGATATCGCGAAGCCGTGGAGAAAATAGTCACTATCACTTCAATTTTGAACTATGCGAGATTTTTTTAATATTCATAATTATTAAATATAAATATCGTATTGACAAGGTCCCTAGAAATTTATTAAATTGTAATTTTAATAGTCTGTAAAGCTTCTTAAGGTTAAAAGATAGTGACCGTCGTTCATCCACGCTTTCGCGTACTGACTTATCTCTAATACCAATCGGGATTGTTTTTAGCGTGAAAAGTAACGTTGTGTAATTCTCTTAATTAAAAATTACGTCAAAAAAGCAAACGAAAATGATTGTTATAAATGCTCTTATCAGTCGGTAGGATTCATGATTAAAATTTGCATCTCATAAATTATAAACCAAAAATTTTCTTCGTTAATAGTTTACTGTTTGTTCTTTTCTCTCTTCTAAAGATAGCTGTGTTATTTATAGCACTGACACAAATTTCTGAAAGTTCACTTTATGTTAAAATTTAAATTTATTTAAGTCTAAATATGAACCTATATGAAGAAGCGCATACGAAGTTTGTTCAAAATGTAATGGGAATTTTCAAAGGTTAGTTTGAGTTTAGCGAGCGAACGAGTAAGACTTGCCTTGATATTTTTTGTTAAAAAAGGAATTAAGAGCAGTAACGCGTTCAAAATTTTAAAGAAGGCCTTTGGCGACGATACTATGTCAGAGCCACGAGCTTATCAATGGTACAAATGTTTCCAATAAGGCCAAGAAGACGTTTTCTTCGACTACAGTGGAATAGTTCATCGCGAATTTTTACTGCTAGGTCGTACAGTTAACAAGGCGTACTACTATAAGTTATATGCAATTTGCGTGAGACAATCAGGAGAAAACGACAAGAACACGAGAGACAACTCGTGGATTTTGCACCACGACAATGCACCGGAGCATACCGCTTTGCTTGGCGAAACACAACACCGTTGTTATGTCCCAATTTCCCTATTCTCCGGACACGACCCCTGTGACTTTTTCCTATTTCCCAATCTCAAAAGGGTACTCAAAGGACAACGATTTTCAACATCCGATAAGATTCCCATTACTTTTTTATCAAACTTAGTATAATTAGTCCAGGAAATATAGATTTGGACGCGACTCTTTGTTTCGGCAAGCTGAATTTATCACTATAGATGCTAAATATTGTGTACAATAACACATTAGTTTCCACAGTCGTAAAAATGAGGGGAAGCTTGTTTACAGGGTGGTTAATTGTATATTTTTACGTAAATTCACGTTTTTCGCTTATAACTTTTTTCCGTTCATCTCCACGAGAAAACAGTAAAGTATTTTTTTTCGTCTTCAAAAGACCTACAAAACTAGCCCTCGAGCGTCAAAAAGTATTGATTAGATCAAAAGTTATAAACAGAACAAGTTTATTTATAACTTTTAAATTAAACATTTATAAACTGCGTTATTATTACCACAACGTTTTAGCATCGCATCCTCTCATTCCTTATCACTGTCTAATAACTCACGAAATCTGGAACCGGCAAGTTGAATAGTTTACAAGTACAGTAGTTTTGTAGGTCTTTTGAAGACGAAAAAAAAAGTACTTTACTGTTTTCTCGTGGAAGTGAACGGAAAAAAGTTATAAGCGAAGAACGTGAATATACATAAAAATTATACAATTAATCACCCTGTAAACAATCTTCCCCCCATTTTTTTGACTGTGGAAACTAATATGTTATTGTACATAATATTTAGCATCAATAGTGATAAATTCAGCTTGCTGAAATAAAAAGTCGCGAAATTGTCATTTCCCAGTTTATTTTCCTGGCCTATAATTACTTACATATTTCTATTATTAAATATAAAAACAATATATTTATTTTAAAAACTTTGCTTGGTTAAACACGTAGAAATATTTTTATAATAATGTAGTTACCTAGGTAGACTATATACAGGGTGATCGAGAAATAAGTGCTAAAATTACTCAAATAATCAAGTTAAAACTCCTCAAAATCGACAACTTTTGTCTAAATATGTTTTTATGAAAACTTCTTAGATTTTGAGACAATGCAATCCTTTAAAATGTTCTATCATTGTTACCCGCCACTAGAATTAAAAGTCAAAACTCTTAACTTGGATTAATAATAAGAGAAATCAGTAAAAATAATTGGAGCCAATTATTGCTCCTATTTAATATTTACATTAGCGATAAAAAATAATTAACGACCATGAAACGTTCGTATAAGTTACTTGTATCTTTTTTTAATGCATAAGGAGCTCATTAGCGTTATTTTAATGGTCTTAAAATATCGGACAAATGTTTCCGAAAACATTTACTAGAAAAAAGTTGTTTTTGACAAGATAAACAAGTGGATAAAATTTTGGTCCATATTTTTGCCCCCACCCCCCCCCCTGTGTACAAGTAATAGTATACGTCTCTAAATTATTTAAATAGTTTGTTTGTTCGAAGACATAAGAGCTCAAAATCACATTACACACACGATTTATTAACATTGGCGCATTCGCCATTTTTGATAAAATTTAACTAAAATAATATTTTTATATTCCTTTCATTATTTATCCAAATTACTTACTATTATTTTACTAACATCATTATTAATTTATTATTAAAAGATGAGAAGTAAATAACACTTTATAATTTGCTGCAGGAAATGCAAGGAAAATATAGATCTCCGGAAAGGACGATGTATAAAGTGTCAAATATCAATGTCAGTAAGAACTTGTTCTCAGAAACAAAAGTTCTTTTGAAGAACAAAGAATTGTCAAACAGAAAATCGTGTTTAACCTTTCTTTAAAGCTAAAGCAATAATTTAAAACTCATAGTAGAGCCTGGGAATTATTTCGGTAATGTTTAATTATATCGAAATTAAGCAAAAGTAATTTTTCCTTTTTTTTTCTAATTTTTAATCCAGTGTTATAATCGTGAACAAATTATACGATTTACGTAGTTAAGGACAAATAATCGCAAAATAGTATGTCCCGTAATTAGCTCACCAAACTTGTTCTAACGATTATGCTGCCAAAAATAGAAAAAAGTGTTAATAAACCTTTAAGCTCCTTTAGAGGCAAGGGTAGACCCTTGAAGACGCGGTCCTGTGAAAGATTTCACTATTCTAAACAAGTTGAGCAGAAATCATACCATTTAATTTGGAAATGGGTAGCAACTGATAGGAGGGGTAAAAAGTATTGCAACTATTTTTAGGGTAGCTTTTCCAAACTCTTTCTCATTTTTTGTTTATTTGTTATTTGACTACAAAGTAAGACAAATGTTTTTTTAAGCCAGAAAAATTAAAAATTACAAGTAAAAGTAGAACAATCAAGAAATACAGGCTGTTACAAATTCGCTTCTCACTACAGGGATCTTGAAAACGGTAAGATATACAAACTAGCTTAAATGAGGGCAAAGTTGCGTAATCAGGGGACCAACATTATGCCTCTAATAAATCAAGGCTAACATGATTAGTTTTCGAAATATTTGAAAAAAAAACGAAATTTTGGAAATCCGTTATTGTTTCGTTTCAGCCTTGTTTGAGGTGATTGAAAAACGAAGAACACTTTCTCATGGCCACATTTTGCCCTCTCTCGAGTGGCATAATCAATTTTTATATGTAACGTTTCGTCTTTCCAGGACCATCATCAACTTCATTTTTAAAAAAACGACCCTAGAAATTTTATTTTTTTTGCAAGCCTTCATGACCCGCAATACTGTACTGCCTCAGCCCGAACCAGATTCAGATGTTTTGTCTCGAAAAATTCATCTTCAGTATATTCGTTAAAAATTTATCTAACCACGCATTAAAATAAAACATTATTAGAGTTTTATTCCCGTGTCCCTAGTTATTTCTAGGCTTCTCGAGTGCTCAAAATTCAAACAAATTCCGATCTATTTTTTTGCAGGATATTGTTGCGGTTACAGATATAATAAATTCCCATAATATTACGCTGATCTTCATTTTCAACATTTACTGAAATTTTTAAAAAATAATATTCAGTTGGCGTTTTGGTTGTTCGTATGCATTTTTAAGAATTAATTTGTCATAGTAAAATTAAAATTGTAATAATTAATTTTAACGCAACAGCTTATGGAGTTGTGTATGACCAAGTGATGGTAATAGTTAATAATAATAAATGTTTTATTGTAACGCGTTGTGGTAATAGTTTAAATAACTAGATGGATTTCACAGGGTCTAACGACACTTACAGTGTACGATAATTCAATAAACAAAGAAATCTAAATAAAAAATTTATATAAATTTGGAACGAATACACTGAAGATGAATTTATCGAGACAAAACGTCTGAATCTGTTTCGGACTGAGGCAGTACAGTATTGCGGGTCATGAAGGCATGCAAAAAATGTAATAAAATTTCTATCGTCGTATTCAAAAAAATGAAGTTGATGATGGTCCTGGAGAGACGAAACGTTACATATAAAACTTGATTCTGCCATTTGATAGAGGGCAAAAAGTGGCCATGAGAAAGTGTTCTTTTTTCAATATCACCTCAAACAAGACTGAAATTAAACGAAAACGAATTTCCAAAATTTCGTTTTTTTTTCAAATATTTCGAAAACTAATCATGGCATAATGTTGGTCCCCTGATTACGCAACTTTGCTCCCATTTAAGCTAATTCGTATATCTTATCGTTTCCGATATCCCTGTATTGAGAAGCGAATTTGTAACAGCCTGTATAAGTACATTAAAAATTATTATTATTAGTAAAAAATAGATTGAAGAAGGAGCAGAAAAAGAAATTTTTTGTGAATAATTTTCAAGTTTGGCGACTTTTGAATTTTCGTGGGGTGATAAAACTTTCAGGATTGACTTTACTCGAAAGAGACACTCTATAAAAAAACACGCACAAAAGTTGCCGTAGTTTTATCCCTATCTCATCAGTTTTCACATATTTCCAAATCAAATTTCTGTATTCTTTAAATAAGAAAATGTTGTGCTTATTTCGTTGACGAATACACACATTTTTATATCAGTAGATTCATAACGATATACACCTAGTTATTGTCATTTTAATAAGAAATTTGATTAACCATTTAGGATCGTCAACTATATTTTGAAGCAGGCGTTTCAGTATAAAGTACAATACATTCTGGGCACAATAGAACATCAAAAATAAGATTTATGAACTGTAAGTCTTTGTATGTTTTCAAAGTACAAAGTATTAAGATATTTTTTTAAATTAATTTCCTAATATTCCCAAAAGTCATCGCCATAATAATATTTTGAAAATAGAAGACAGTATAAAAGACAATAGGCTTATTGTTTATAAGAAAAGATCCTCTTAATTTTTTTTTTGTTCTATTACCCTAATTATATGTTAGAATTTATGTGTAGCCAGTCTTTCGTCAACATTTCATTTTTGTTTAATATCAAATTTAAGAAATTTGTGTCAGTATTTTTTATTTTTATACATTTCTCTCAACTTTAACTTAACAAAATATTTTTTTAATTTTGCTAACTGTAAGAGATGTCACACAAGTTACCTTTATGCGAAGGCCTAGAGAAAAGACACGTTAATTCTTTTCAAACTCAAATCATAAATCTTTTGCTGAGTATAAAATATATTCCGTCTGCAACTTTATATTCTCAATTTATTACGTCGAAAAAACGCGTACCTAACAGTGTCTAACGATATCGTACGGAAAAGAACAGTTAGGTAACAAAATAACCTGTTTTGGAAGAGTCTAACGCTAAAGGTATTAACAATATTAAATATGAATTCTAAAAATAAAAGTATATTCAAGTCGTCTAACACTAACGTAACAATGCGGTGGAACTCTCACTGAACCCAGGAAGCTGGCACCCAGAGGGGTTCCGTTTCCACGCGATTGGCAGCAGTAAGTAGTTGACTGAAGGCAACGGCTAAATCTGCGTTAACAATTGTTTCGTCAAAAAAGTGGTCGTACAAAAATTCTATTCTGGCGGAGGATTTAATTATGTCATTGAATTCTTCGTCCTGCAAATCAAATTTTAAATTATTATTCAGCGTGATTACAAACTTGAGGAGCATTTTCAATAGTCAAAATTTATTGAAACTGCAAAATTGCGTTTAAAATTAATAACAATTAAAATTGTTGAAACTTATTGAGAACATCTGGAATAGTACCCAAGTTACATGTTGCATAAAAAGAGGTGTTCTTTTTTAACTATGTTTTCTTTTTGAGAAAAGACATTGCCTCTGTGGTGTGTGTGTACAATAAGTGCGAAAAATGGCTCGTCATTACGGGGACAATGAGTTAATGGACACCAACAATTGTAAACAGAATCAAAACTATCGGCAGACTCAGCGGTCCCAAAAAAGTTTTTATCGTATCTATGTGGTAAGTCATTAAGTGTATAAAAATATTTTCCTTGCAAAAATATTTCTGACAATCGAGTTTTCGCTCCTCGATTTGTTTTCTCTTCACATATCATCCCCAAGTTTGTAAGCACCCGGTATGTATAGATCTCTAATTTTATAAAGAAAACAAACATACAATTCGTTGAAAATGAGACATTTGGACATCTTTTTAAAAATACAGTAAGCTTCAGGAAAGAAAGAAAGCTCTGATGGTTATTTTTTTATCTTGACGCAATTTTGGTGACCTCCTATATATTTTCTATAGGATTAAGGACTGGTTAAACTTCTAGACAGAAAAGAACTCCTAACATGTTCCAAAGCTTCCTTTGGTCTCGCTTTGTGCATGCACCATGTTTTGTTATTCTAATACCTACTACTAAATTTATTTTTAATCATCAATATCATGTATATCAATTTGATTGTCACATCATTACCAATTAAATGCAAAATGTTCCAAAATAAATGTAAATGTTTACGAGAAGACGATTCTTTAATTAATTTTAACAGGTGAGTAAACATTCTTAAAATAACTATTAATGGATTTAAAATTTAAATTTGTTAAATTTTTTTCTATGTTTATTTCTCTTTTTCAAACGTTTATCACGAAAAGGCCCTAGAAGCAGTCATTTTTACTTTAAATTATGTCACTGCTTTTCTAAATCTTTAAAAAATTTAAATAAAAATTGGGACACGTGGTGTTAAATGGGATGAGGTAAGCCCATTTTCAATCGAAAGTATTATCTTTGGGATTTGACAGAAACGAGTAATGACTTCATCAATTATATTTTTTCCAGAAACATACCCAATTTTTTTTCCTTTTAAAAAGCCATCTTTTTTTAATAAACTTTTATCCAAATCCAATGATTGTTTCAGAAGTGCTTAGCACTGACAACCTCTAAATTTTTATTTTAGGTAAAAAGGTGATCTCAAGAACATTAAAAAAAAACATTAAAAAAAACATTAATAAAAATAACAAACTAAAATATAATAAATTGCAAAATTGCACAACAAAATTGGCTTGAAGGATAGTCCATTAGTTTCCAGGATTTCGGACACCCTATAGAATGTTATTTTCAACAATGTTCAAAGAATATGTGGAAAAAGTAAACCAGAAGTAATTTCTCTAACTAAAAGTGAAACTTACCGTAAAACCTCGTGAATTATTTACATCAAAAGTGGACCTAGCGTGATTAGCGTTCCTAGTATCTTTAAGCACTTCTAAACTTGGCGGTTTTATGTATATTATATAAGGTTTTAATTGTGGTGTTCTTAGCATCTTAAGCGCTTGATAATGAGGATTCAAAATGCAAACTTTCCCAGCGTTCACTATTGCTTTAACGCTTTCGGCCGAAGTACCGTACAGATTGCCCTTGTATTCGCCGAACTCTATGAATTTGGTGGCCTCGATGTCTTCCTCCATTTGTTCCCTTGTTACGAAGAAATATTCCTTACCATCTACCTCCCCCGGTTTCATAGCTCGAGAGGTATCTGGAAAAGACGCACGTCGTTAATAAAAATCAGTCAGCAGTAGTAATTTTGGATGACCTAAAAGTTCAGCTTGGAAAATCGTATTCCAATAAAACAAAACAAAATGAAAGAGAAGACTATTAGACGAAATAATTACAGAGTATGTTGAAGGCATTTCCGACAATCCTATTTGATATTCCATTGTACATACAGGATCTTGGACCATTTCAAGTTCGAAAAATGAACCAAGCTAACGGGAATTTAAAAAATCCATTAGCGCACAATATTTGACTAATTTGAAAGTAAATAGAGAAATCCAATCTGCTGTAAAACAGAGACAGATATCGACAAAATGTAAGAGGCATTTTTTATTCCCATTGGCATGCTTTTTCAGAAAATATAATCGACTATTATTTTGCACAGGATCGTATATTTATTTTATAAAATAGTCGAATTAATTTCCCATATCTCCGCCACTGGTTATGCAAAAGTCTTGATATTAGTGTCTTATGGAAACTTGATCTAGTATAACGTACACCAAATTTATTTCAAATACCTCTATTATTTCAGAAGATATTTACAATAAATGAATTTTTTTTAAACTATTAACACTGTATCTCGAAAACGGTTTATATGACGAAATACCATTAATTTTCATTGTACTATCTGTTCCCCAAGCATCAAAGATTAAACTAATACAGTCCTATACCTATCTTCAACTTTTCGGAAATATTAAGTATTTTCAGATTTATTGCAAAAATTAACATTAAGAAAAGAAAATTATTTGATTAAATTCGCTACAACACACTCAGTAATGCGAAAGTAAGCAAAACCAATTTCAGCGTTCCATTTTACTGATATGAAATAAAAAAAACTAGGTATAAATAGTTTTGTTTACTTTTGTTTAAAACGCCTGGCCTTAGCAACGTGTTGTCTGCCTGCATAACAGGAGTTGTCAGTGTTTAAGTCATTAGAATTTCGTTAACTGCATATCAAAAAAATGGTTCATTTAACAGAAATGCACAAAATAACAATTCTACAGATGATTGGTTATGGAGATAACACACGGACACAAATTGAAGTTGCTCTCTTATTTCATGAAAGATTTTCAAATTTGCCGCCTATATCCCAAGAGGCAATTAGTAAAATAGAAATACAATTTCGCGAGCTTGGATATGTAAGGCAGATAAAAAAAGCAGCTGTCAATACAATAAGTGATGACACCAAATTGGATATTACGCTCGAGTTTGAGGAAAACCCACATACTTCTAGTCGAAAAGCAGCCCCAATGTTCGATGTTAGTTATTCATCGATTATTCGAATATTAAAAGAAAATAAAATGCATCCCTATTTAATCAAACCAACTCAGGAGCTCATGGAAGACGATTTTGATAGGAGACTGTATTTTTGTGAACAAATGATAGCAATGTTAGATAAGAATGTGAACCAATTGAACATGTTTTGTTTTCTAATGAGTGCAACTTTACACTTCACGGTCATGCTAATGGTCAAAATTGCCGCTATTGATCTAATAAAAATCCTCACTGGATCACAAAAGAACATACGCAATACCCTGAAAAGTTTAATGGTTGGGCAGGAATTGTTGGAGATCATATCATAGGTCCATTTTTCATTGATGGCAATTTGAATGGCGATAATTATTTAGCACTGCTCCAAAATAATGTCGTGCCAACTTGGACAAACTTATATCCTGATCCAGCAAACCCACAAGTTCCAGCGAATATGATATGGTTTCAACAAGATGGAGTACCGCCCCATTACCATGTTCGGCAGTACCTTAACTGAATATTTCCCAATCGATGGATATGGAGGCGAGGATCGATGGAATGGCCAGCACGATCCCCTGATCTGACACCATTAGACTTCTTATGAGGATATCTCAAAAGTATTATATACAAAACCAAAACCCCTAGACTTCGCTGACTTAAGAAGACGAATTACACTTGCGATTAGATCGGTCACGCCCTGAGATATTGAGTAATGTTGGAAGAAATTTTTATTTTTATTAAGATGTTGCCAAGACGTTCGCGGCGAGCATTTTGAACATCTCCTACATTGACATTAATGTTTTTTTTTTTTGACTCATTATCCATAGATAATAATTTAACCGAATACGTTGTGTATAAAATTTCATGATAATGACTTTCAACGAATAATACGCTTTTGTCGTTGGTATTTAAATAATGCAAATAATAATCCCAACTTTCCAAAAATTATTTTATGGCAGATAAAAGTAATTTTTCTGCAACGGCATGTTTAATACATCATACCATTGCAGCCATGATAATCCTAGAATTATAAGAGAAAGAAATTTTGAAAATCGATTTCATATTTTTGTGGTGTGGTATGCTAGGTATGCTTCTTTAATGGTTCTTTAACTGGCGAAGGGTATAACAATTTTTTGAGAGATCAATAACGAGAATACCTATTTGAAAGAATTAACAGTTAATGAATATGTCCAACTTCAACCCTCATATAGGGGTGTATAAGGGTGGTAAAGTGACGCTAGGGGGTAACGAGGGGGTCATTCATTTTTGGTAGTCTTCTTCGTTCTTAGTGGCCCAAAAAACAAAGGAATACTCACCCTACCCGACTTTGTATGAGAACTGACATTTCAACTCCCAGAAGGGGGTGTATGGAGGTGGTAAAGTGACGCTAGGGGGTAACGAAGGGGTCTAATTCATTTTTGGTAGTCTTCTTCGTTCTTAGTGGCTCAGAAAACATAGAAATACACACAGAAGAGGGTGTATGGGGGTGGTAACGGGCAAATGGCTAGTTAATTTTTTTTATGGTCATATTCGGTTTTTACTATCTGGGTCTTGATATTTTTTTGTGTGCCTGTGTAATCAGTATTACTTATTAGTTTTTGAGTGTGTTATAGCGAATTTCTGTAATCAAATAATTTTCTTTTTTTAATGTTAATTTTTTGCAATGAATCTGAAAACATTTAATATTTCCGGAACAGTTAAAGATAAGTTTAGGAAATTGTACATGAAATATGTCTGCAATTTTCTGAAGAATCCAAAAATTGAATAATATACAGGGTGTTGCATTTAAAATAACAAAGATGGTATTGACCACTGTTACATGACACACCCTGCATGAAAAGTTTTTGTTGAAAGAAATGCACAACTAAAAATACCAATCGACGTTTCCGAGTGTTTTTTCGAAGACGCCTTCATTTATTTTTTATTGAATTTATTCCATTTGGCTGATACACACTGTATAAACTATATAGGAGGGGAGTTAAAAACATTATGAAATTACCTGAAAGGCTGAAAATATGTTTCAACAAAAAGTCACTTACAAGGAGTTGGTGTTTTATATTTATCGGGATCGGTGTCGATAAGGCGCCGCTTCAGTTCGTTACGGCCGACCCCCGGGGCGCCTATCAAAACGATCGGTCGATAGATCCCAGGCCTGGGGTACAGCTTGGCCACTTCCTCGTAGGTGGCGATCTGCTCCCGATCGAAATCGTCGTTTTCTGCTGTATCATACATAATCTTTTTAGTTTTAGGTTTGGATGCACAACGAGGGGATTTCGGGAACTGACTGCAGGTTAGCACAGGCAAAGCTGAAACAGAGCAAAGCCCTACGGCCACCAAATGAGTTGTTAGTAATGGAGATGTGAAAGAAAACGTAACAGAACAAAGGGAAATCGATATATTTCAATGTAAGTAAAAAATCAAAATTATTGTTATTATTATATTAATTATTATTAAACACTGTTATAAGTGAAACACTTTATAAGACACTGACGGATGTGTAGATCTTTGTTTTCACCTTGGTGATGCACATTTACATTATATGACCGCATAAAAACAATGCTGACAATGTAAGTTGTTGCAAGGTACAAGAAAATAAATTTTCTAGAATTGATTGTAGTTAACCTCAAACTTGAAAATAGTAGTTTACGATCACGTTGAATTGTATGAAAAATATGAAAATGATTTTCATAATGATTAAATTCAACTTGGATAACACAGGTCCAAAAAACTGGCAAACCGAGCTATACTTGCCTGAAGGTATTTCATAGGCTACACTTAAATCTGATCAGAATTGCTATTATGCTCCATCACGTCAGGTTTTCGACATGCTAATCTAAAAAAGTACAAAAAATACCGTTTTTTGCTATACAGGGTGTCCTGTTTATAGTTCAAAAAAACTTCTCATGGAAAAATAATAGGAGTAGTTCATGTTAAGTTTTTTTCTTAGACGCTCTGTTTTCGAGATACAGTGTGTTGAAGTTATTACTTTCCAAATGGTTTTCCTTAATTATCTTTAACTCGGCTAAAGATAAAAATGTCAAAATTTGTACACGAGCAAACATCAACTGTGCGTTAAGAATAATGTGCAAATGGTTTCTTTCTAAAAAACAGTGTCGCCTATACAGGTAAATGGAGGGGTACAATCGAAAAAAAAATATGTTAAAAGTAAAAATTAAACTAATTTTAGATTTTGTAAACTACTACACTACCATTATTAAAATAAACAATTGTTGAATGGACTGAATTGTTGATTGACATGAATGCTTAAAAAAAGTGATAAAAACAGAAAAATATTAGGAAACAGGCTCGGAAACATACAGAACAAAACAGCTGCACAATTAAATAAATGTGCAAACTCGACGTACTACAGTAGATACTGAAATTGTCCCCCATTTCCTTCTATGCAACTTCATTTTTCTCGAAAATGATACATGCTACCGAATTTCGACAAGCATACCTTTCTTTTGTAGTATGCTTTAGAGTTTACAGAACCGTTTAGAAATGTAATCAATTTTGACTTTTAACATATTTTTTCATTGATTGTACCCCTTCAATTACCTGTATCGGCGACACTGCTTTTCAGAAAGAAACCGTTTGCACATTATTCTTAACGCACAGTTGATGATTACTGGTGTATAAATTTTGACATTTTTATCTTTAGCAGATTTAAAGATAATTAAGGAAAACCATTTGGAAAGTAATAACTTCAACACACTGTATCTCGAAAACTGGGCGTCTAAGAACTTTACATGAACTATCCCTATTATTTTCCCATGAGGAACTTGCACCCAAGTGTTTTTGAGACATGAACAGGTCACCCTGTATTTGAAATTATGCTGCATCACAAGGTAATTTTCCCCACAAAACTTGTTACGCCCCTTCAAAAATGTGTTTTGAGTCGTTCAAATATTTTCCTTCCTCTTCGAGAAATCATATCATATTCGGAAATTAAGTAGCAGTAAATGAAGACTCAAAATGAGAGAAAAAGAAATTACAAATTCCCACTCTTTCAGGTTTTTATGGTCGCTGATTACGAATCTAAGGTCGGAAATACAAAATGTATCATTTTAACACTCTGCTAACATTCTTCAGCGTCCTGAAGGCAAAGAAAATTTTTCATCGCTCGTTTCTGCAATAAACAATTTTGAAATAGTTGAGGTCGTTGAAAAAATTACATGACCGTCAACTGGATAACCTCACTCACAGCCCTGGGAATCGAGGAAGAAAATTACCTCGTAATGTAACAGCATCAAATATAGTAAAAGCTGTTTTTCGCACTTTTAGGTTAGGTTATCTCTAAAAACTCATGTGATGGAGCAATTCTTATTGGCCTGCCTGACCTGAACATTGTGATAGATTTATTTTTAGAAACGACATAAAGATATGCTTTAAATTTTGAATTTTTTCATAGAATTCAATATACATTTTTACATCATTTGATATAATCCCCACTTATGGCTAAAAATTTTAATTTAATAGGTCAATTTCTAGCAGTAATAGATATGATTAAACGGTTGTACCATAAACGCAATATTTTAGAAAGTTATAAGAAGCTAAATATTTTGCCACTAGTTTTTAAACCGACTGCGGTCACTTGCCAAATACAAATATGTCAAGTATTTCCAGATTATTTGGATAAATTATTTGGAAAACGTTGAATAGTTTCATGCACACAATGTACTGTTGTAGCAAATATTACTAAAAATTCCTATTAATTGTCAACCGATTTTGAACATTAGCTATTTTTGACGAATGTAGAGAAATTTGACACGTGAATACATACTCTCGAATGCATCGATATGCATCATCAACACGATACGGCATTTGTTTAGTTTTAGCAAATGTTTAGCAATCTGGAGCAGGTTCTTTCAACCACGTTAACGATAAACCTATCAGAAAATATATACAACGTGTTATGGCAAAAAAAATATACAGTTCCGGAATACATTTTTCTATTATTTATTTTACTGTTTTTAAAATAAGCGAATTTCTTTGTAAAAGTTTTTAATATCTTTAAACGCAACAAAATTACTGTACATCCTAATATTTTGAGTCGATATTCATGTATGTTGCTAAAGATTGTTTATTTATACTCAAATTTTTGAATTACGTTTATGAATTTTCTGATATTAAAAACAACGCTGTGTTAAAGTAACGGAAAACCAAAAGTTGTGTTTATTTGAAGTAGCATCAACTTTTCAAATAAACTTCATATTCTTATTGATTTTGGATACCTTATATCTTGAAAATAAAGCAGTTCTGGTTACGTGATTATATGGATCTTCTTATTAATTTTTGTCTAGAATCCTTCAGCAAAGTTTGGCCAAATTTTAGTCACACATTAAATAGAAAACAGAGATCTACAACTGGCGCACAGCTGTGAAAGCTCATATTAAAAAAACCTTCATGGAGGCATCTTTCATCCAAAAAATAAATAAATGAACACAAAAATAACTTTTTGAAGATTAGGAATATTGTTAATATTGAAAATTGTGTTATTAATATTAGAATGACTTAAAATTTGAAAGAAATTTGGAAGTTACATATAAACAAATTTAATAATATTAAGATGATTGATAACTAACTAATGAGAATAAAGTGAGGAGCAGTGCGATGCTAAGCCATCATGCGATTGACAGGACAGTGCATCCTACTGTCTACTACTTACTGTCTTCTCCGTCTTTGAGTTGTGTTCTCTCGTAAATTATTCTCCTTTCCTGGAGCGCCCTACTAGGAATAAGGCCGGCGCGCATATTTCTGTCACCCTCTCTTCTCGCTTGCCACCTAAGAAAAATATCGGGTGGTAAAGAGTACAAACAAATTCAACAAATTAAAAAAAAAGTTCTTTGTATGCTTCAGTGACAATCTTACCAGTATGCATCATCCTGAGACACTATATGCAAAACGTCTCCCTTACTGAAATCTAAGCCAGCTTCTTTACAAGGTATGTAAGGGTCAGTCGCAGCTTCGTAGTTAAAGTGCGCTCTGACTCTAACCTTGCTTTCCCTTGAAGATGCCTTTCCGTCTGCCGGCACCAATTTAAAAGTTATTGTTCCCTCGGAATTTTGCTGAAAAGAGGTAAAAATATTTCGTAAAATAAGAAATAAATAACAAGGTTAAATGTTTTATAGAATATAACTTATTTTATTTCTGGTTCCTAATGTCAGTAAACGCTTCTGTTTGGTAAAATATTAATAATAGACTAGGCGGTATCTGTTGGTTTTGGTGAATCGTATATCCACGGAGATTTTTGGCTTTTTGGCTTTCAAATATCACTAGAAATGAAAATTTTTCTATGCGCATAAAAAAAAACGTGGGCTTAACTTTTGGCGGCACAATATGTTAAAAAAATTCGAAAAATGTCTTAATTTTCTTCCTATTTAATTATGTATCTTTTTAAGAGTTGATTTTAGGCGAAAATGGAAAAGGAAAAAAATGTTTCTAATTAAATTTTACAAAATATGACTAGTTACAAATCGAATGAACCATGATTGTTATCACACCAAATTTCGTCAAAATCGGTTAGATAGATTTGGCATAATAATTTTGCAATCCAGATTTAAAAAAAAATTGCAAATTTTCAAAATTGTGCACAGCAGAGAGCGCGGCCGCTTCGGCCTGCTCTAAATTGAATCGGCGAGTTCAAAACCGTGACGCGCTTACAAATTTTTAATATCTCAGTTTCTGGAGGTTCGATTTTGATGATTTTTTTTAAATCGATGTTTCGCGATTTAAAAAAACAATTAGCGTATTTTCAAATACCTATCGTTAATAATTATTGGTCTTTCAACAGTCCGATAATTATTTACCTTTAAACTGCCTTTAACTATCAACTTTATTTTTTTATTGTATCAAAAGTAAGTACATAAACTTATATGTTTATTAAAGGTCAAAAACAAATTTATTTAAATATTCTAAAATTGTTTAAACAACAATTATTCTCAAAATATGTCGAAAATTAGTAATTAATTCATTAATTATTAATTTAATCATCATTTCTTTTGTGATTAAAGTATAATTAAAATATTATTTACTGTTTAAAATATAAGCAAATGCGAAATTAACTCATTATATTACAAAAATACAAAAAAAAATTATAGTACAAAAATTCGACCAATGTTTAAACAAGCGCCAGAGCTCTCCTAATTGACGGATTCAAATTTTTCAAAAAGCGTTTGAAAGCTTGAGAGTCCTTTTATACATATGTGATTAAATTTTTAAGTATCTAAGGGCCCTGGTTTTTGCGGTGCAAAATTTTGAAAATTTGCAATTTTTTTTTCAAAATCTGGATTGCAAAATTATTATGTAATGTATTGAATCGATTTTGATGAAATTTGGTGTGATGATTCTACATAACATGAAGTTTTCTTGAGCCAAGTATAAGGTCCTAAACCCAACTTAAAGACCCCAAAAAAATCCCTAAAAAGTAGTTTTTTAACACCATTTTTGACGATTTTTTCGATTTTTACAATAATAATCATATTTTGTAAAATTTAATTAGAAACATTTTTTTCCTCTTCCATTTTCGCCTAGAATCAACTCTTAAAAAGATACATAATTAAATAGGAAGAAAAATATGATATTTTTCTAATTTTTTGGGCATATTGTGCTGCCCACGTTTTTTTTATGCGCATAGAAAAATGTTCATTTCTAGTGATATTTGAAAGCCAAAAAGCCAAAAATCTCCGTGGATATACGATTCACCCAAATATGGACTCTTTGAAACAGATACCGTCTGGACTGTAAATAGTGCTATAAAATCTGATTTTCAAGATACAACTAAAAAAAATTGAAGTGCTAGCAGCAGGTAAAGGTAAATGGGCTTTGTTTAACCCTATTTAGGTCATGACAAGGTCTTAAAACACACCTTGTATGCTCGTATATTCTTCTAGTGTTATACAGGGTGTTAATGAACTTACGTAAAAAAATTGAAAGGGGTGAAAAAGGAGCAAAAACTGAGTTAACTGATGTAACAAACTTGTATCGGAAGTTTAAGGTCATAGAGAAAAAAGGTAATTAAAAATGTGTTTAAAACTGTTTTGGAACTGCTGAAATACATGTATTTTATCGCGGCGAATACTTACAAAACAAAAAATTCTATAACACTTTTTACGAGTTTGCAGGTTTCTTATGAAGCTGGACTGTATTCGAAAGTCAGTTTGTAATACATTGTTGTAGTGATTGCTGTGCTGTTTTTAGAGAGTATATGTGAAAAGTTATGTGTATTCCACGGAAGTTCGTGACAATCGATCATCGACATCGATCAACTGCGACATCGTATTGCTGAAGCTTGTAACACGAGTCGAGAGGACGTGGCAATGTTGCAACGCGTGCGAGCAAGTTGCAACGTCGCGCTGAAGCTTGTGTGCAAGCAAATGGTGGGTACATCGAACATCTATAAAAATCAGCAGTTCTCAAAAGGTGGCAAAAATATTTAACATAAGTTCATTAACATCCTGTAGACATAAAATTCATAAAACAACTTACCAGTATTTTAAGAACATCATTTGGTGTTTTCCCTTCCACATTCATGTTGTTGACTTCGACCACTTCATCCCCCACGTGGATCAACCCCGACCTGTCGGCGGCCCCGCCGTGCATCACCCTGGCTATAACAATTTTTCCCGTTGCTTCGTCCGTCTTAATCGTGGCGCCCTATCGGGAAAAACATATTAGAACCACAAATCTGCCGACCGCAGCGATTTTCTGAGGTTCTACATACAAAACTGTAGTGCAGGTATATGTGCAAAGTTAAGAAAGAAAGGGGGGAAATGCTTATGTATTTCTGAAATACTTACAACTATCGGTTCAGCACTTTGTGCCCCAGTCTTTGCAAAAAAGAAAGATAAGATGAATTTCTTTGGTATTAGTCAGTCTACACTTAATCTATGTCTTTTATCTACTCGCTAATCAACTAGAAATGGTGCCAAAACAAAATTAAGAAAAACTAACAAAGTGATTTCTACAGAGACGTGTGTCTTGAATTACATAGTACAAATTTTATCAGATGGTGATGATTAGGGGTATCCCAAAATTCACGCAAGAAGTAATTCTGACAGAAAAAACAGCAACACACTTCCGACCATATTTGAAAATTACGAATTGTAGCTGCCAAATCTTCATTATTTTAAAAATTTCCTCCTTTTTTAATAACTCTGAACTGTCAGCTGTCACTTTTTTTTCGTTGGCCAGACTTTGCCACACAAATGACGCAAAAATCAAATCTTGCGGAATATTGGGACACCCGTTAAAATCACAAAAAATAATAAAATCCCTAAACATCAATCGGGAAACATTTAGTTTCCGAGATATTTTCTCTTTTAGTGTGATGTCACATATTTAAGCAACACGCAACAAACTGTCGTAGTTGAAAGACCGAATCTGACCCTTGTGTACTTCTGTGCGAAGTATTTTTATTGTTTTTCTTGGTGTTGTACTGTATCAGTGTGTCTATCGAGTGTTTTTTTCTTCAAGTGGTTTATTATAGACGTACTCTTAACCAATACCAAAACTTTTCTTGAATGATATCCTGTTGCGCGGCTACTTCGCTTACATGAAATTATCTTTAATGCGCATGCTCAGTAACATTGATATAATTGTAATTTATTAATTACCTACTATAAAAGTCAATATTGTTCTATAAATTTAAATATATAAATTCTATAATTCTATTAGTTTGTCACTTGGGGTTTGAAACTTCTTAAATATTTCCAGAATATCTCGATATTTAAGGTCATGACAAAGAAGCCATTTTTTGTGACCATTTTTTATGTCCAAATAGGTCGAAAATCGATCTAGCAAAAATATTAAGAAATTCTTCATGACAGTGTGCACTAGGGGGTTGCCTATTATTTGCCGCATGTGACGTCACTACTAAAAAAAGTCTATTGCTCACAACAGTTTTTTCCAGATATTGTAGGTAATAAAGTTTTATACTTTTTAAGAAAAATATCTTTGAAATAGGTCAACTTTTGACTTATTTAATAAGGTCAGAAGATAAATTTTGATATCTTCATCTAAACTAGCAACATTTAAATTATTTACCTTCTTTGAAAAATGAAGTTGTTTGTTTTAAATAAATGAAAACATTTAGTACAGTTATTGAAGCTGAAAATCAGCTGTAACCTCCGAATTCTTTGAAACTAGATGGATTTGCATGAAAATTCAGAATAAAGCTCATCTTAAGCTCAAGTTCAAAAGTGACATAAGCCCGATTGACGCATTTTGTTTTTAGGGGTAAAAACTACCCCTAAGTGAAAAAATTAAGTTTTAAGCATTTTATTGATAAAAATCTTGTTCAAGCACAAAGATTAAATAATGTTCCATCTTCTCGAACATGTTTTATGATATATTTGATCTTTTCGACCCTTTATTTAACCCTTGAAAAGTACCCCTATGCAAAAAATAATGATAAAAAATTACTTTTTAAAGATTTCGAATGATTAAATTGTACAATTATTTAAAATAAAAGTTACCTTACAGCTAATAAAAGAATTTTTCCCTTTCAACCCCTAAAAACCACTGTACAACAAGGCGTCCCGATTATATTCATTCAAATCATTTTGAGAAATTCTAACCTGGATAATAAGCATTTCTCGACACATGTATAGGAATTTTTTTCTTTGGAATTCTATTAAAATAATCTGCTTCTATAATCGTAAGACTAAAGCTACACACTGTTGCCAGCTAAAACAATATAAGGTGTTCCCTAAACAAATGCATATATAATGTCCTGAATATTAAAATAATTTTGAGAAGGCCACCACACCTTATCAAATTAATTTTGTGGGACGCTGTAAGAAAATATCTTTATGTATATGTCCCAAATACTATCGAATGAAACTACTAAATACTTTTTCCATCCTAATTTGCTTCATATAATCTCATCAGTTACCTTAATTGCCTGTAACTCTCGTCACTTTAAAAACCGACAACTCAAAAAATATTTATGAAAAAGTCACTGTAATCAGAATTAATAGAGCAGTAGTTAGTTCTAGAAAAGTCGGGAGTGGAATGTTATCTATTTTTATAAAACAGCCCAGTCACTCATCTTACCTACGTTTATATTTTGGATACATACAAATTTTTTTATTTTATTCAGGGAAAAATATGTAAGCACGTAGCACGTATCATATTAATATCAGTAATTAATTATATACCTACCTATCATAAGGGGAAAATTTGAAAGAAACGCCGTCGCCGTTTTTTTTACTGCTAAGTCTTGAAACGAATATCAATATAATATTCATAAAGATGCTATAACCAGTAAGTGTATTTCTTAAACTGCAAGTATATGAATTCCTTCCAGTTCTATAAATACTGCATGTGTTACATGTATATTTTCAGAATATTGACTCATAAAGGCACATCTTATGATCGTCGCACAATATTTTTAGAGTGTATTTTAAGAGATACAGTTTTATGACCGAAAATGTATTGCTTTCGTTACGAGGATAATACATTCATCTATGTATGTACATCGAGAAAATGAAAAATGTATTCGCGTACATTGTGTTGCGTGAAAACTCAAATAATCATAGCTACTTACTAATGGTTCGTTACTTTTGACGAGTTGCACTATCTTGATTGTTTCTTCATCTTCGTCAACGTCTTGAGGAGGTATTTCGGGTAAATGGGGGTAGTAATCCTTCTGTGCTACAGAATCGTGAGCACATAGGAGACCCTAAAATCCAAAACAGTGCGTATCATATACCTACGGCGTGGAATATCAAATTTTTGAAGGTAAAATAAGTAGGTTTGATTGCACTGCTATACATAATATGGATATGCACTTTAATATCCACCCAAAATCATCCTAGCTGTATTATAGAATTATTTTTTCCGAGGTAACCTGTCGAAAATAAATATACTCTACAATGTTCCTAAAAGCCTTAATTCGCGAAAAAAATCGACTTAACATCTATTTCTAAGATTTTATGATGCTTAATTACAAATTTTGTTCACTAGTTCATATAAAAAATTGATATAATTAATAAATAAAATTTTTGTTTTTGTTATTTTGGACATTAATTTACATCGTAATAAATAAAATTTTCCAATTTTTGAGTGGCTTTACTACACCTACAAACTTGAGAAAACAATAAAAATATTTAAAAGTAAAGGAGGTGTATGATTAGGAAACAAAAATCGAAAGTAGGTACAATAAAAAAAAGGTAATACGAAAATAACAATACTCTTTGACTTTTGTATACTTTTGACTCACCTCACGGATTCATAAAGATATTGTATAAATTATAATTTTTCATATATAATGCAGTAAGACTCGGTACAATAACACAGGGGTATAGTAATTATATTCGGCTTCAAAATAAATATTTATTTTTGCCATCTAGATTTAAATGATAGTTTTTGAGTTATATTTAAAAAGTTTTCCTGTAAACAGCACGATAGTGTGAAGTTTAATCCGGAACACATTGCACTCACGTGTCCTATAAAGTGGTTGTTTCAAGTATTGATCAAGTTATTTATACATCTCCTATTTTATCCTCACTGCGGATAGTTTCCTTGACTTAGTGTTTTGACCTCATTTTAAAAACACCGCGGTAAGGCTTCACGATGTCTGGTTTAGAAAAATATATGCTCGATTCAAAGGAATATCAGTTAAAATATTCCGTAAACTTCAACAATTAGAAAAATTTATACAAAAATAATAATTTTTAAGTAATTTTGAAAATATATATAATAACCGTAACTTATGCATTTAATTAGCTTACCTTTCTTGTATTTATGCTCTAACATAACTTGGCAATTTTTTAAAACCTAAACTTACAGTAATTTGAAAAAAATAATCTCTGAAAACAAATGAACTGTAAATATACCTGCGTCTAGGTATATGGGGTAATAAAACGGGGAAGTTTATATACAGGGTATCCCGGTACTCGAGTACAAATAGATGAGGTCATAATAATATCAGTTCTTCATATAATTTTTTTTCATACGGACCTTCGTTAATAAGTTACGGTCCAACAGAGGTGAAAATTAAAAAGGTATTTTATTTACAATCTCTAAACTATTATCTTCAGCATGATGCAAATTTGGTTATCGATAACACATGCGTATAGCTTGTTTCTAATGTTGTAAGTGAAGCTTCATTATGCCCAGAACGCCAGGGATGGTCTATGCCCAATGGTTAATAACCCACAATGTTTGCATAGATGACGATCGCAAGCTGCCTGTATCAAAAATAAGTTCCCTGAAGAATTTGCCAACGATAATACCCTTTTTGTTCAACTCGCTAAAATTAACAGTTTAGGAAATATTTGTGATTTTATATCAGAGTGCACATCGAACGGTGCCTCCACCATTTTTTGTTTTTAATTTTTTATTGGACATAAATACTATGTTAGAACCGTACATATTTTAAAAGTAAGAGCTTAAAAAATCTTACTGTCTACTAATGTAATTTTCACTAACAAAATTTGACAAACACACTTTACACATAACACAAAATAGAAAAATAAAACAAGGATAAATTAAAAGAAGTTAAAAAAATAATTTAAAAGAAAGCAATCTATCAAAATACATTTTCAATATGGACACCTTCCACCTCCACACACCTCTGAAGCCTACGAATGTTATTTGTTTGTACATACATGAAAAAGCATTTCTATGCAAAAATTCTGGGTTGTTAATAATGAGCATAGACCTCCCCTGGCGTTCTGGGCATAATGAAGTTTCACTTATAACATCAAAAACAAGTTATACGTATGTGTTATCGATCACCAAATTTGCATCATGCAGAAGTTAATAGTTTAGAGACTGTAAATAAATATAACTTTTGAATTTCCACATTTGAACGCCTGTATCAAAAAAAAATTATGAAGAACTGTTATTATTGTGACCTCATCTATTTGTACTCGACTTTTTTGTATCAAGTACCTGAATACCCTGTATTATTCAGTGCATAATAGAGCGTGTTTCATTAAAAATAGAACAGAGCTGAACTTGAGTCAATAAATCAGAATTCGAGGGTTAGTTCGTTTTTTGACTATCATGCAACTCATCTAGAAAGCAGTTTTCGATATATCAAACCGGTTTGAGTGATTTTAAAATCATTGGAATTCCTGATCTCTTTACAGCATAACCCCGTAGTCCTATGACTACGTAACCCCGTAACCTCATAACTCTGTAGTCCCTATAACGCAACCCTATAACCCCGTAACCTCATGACCCCACAACCCCTTATCTCCATAACCCCATAATTTTGTAACCTGTTATTTGAACGAAAAAAATCGTCATCACAGTCAAGGAATTACGATTACGTTTTTCGAGTGTAGATACAAAAAGAAAAAACCCAGGTGACTTTGCAACACAAATCTGTAGACCCCAGATCATGGATCTACAGGAGCTTACATTCCACATGTTAAAGATTGCACGGGACCCAATTCCTCGAGATATAGGGTTACGGAATTATGGAGTTATTTAACCCTCCTTTCTCATCAACATAAAGTCAACTGATATATGAAATCCTTATTCTCATAGAGGTTCGCGATTATACCTCCTGGCGCACCTTGAGTTGTTATGGCGTTAAGGGGTTGTAGGATTATGGTGTTAGGAACGCCTGTCAACACACAGTCTGTAATTTGGGTCCTTTGGGTCCTGTATGAGGTCGATCTTCCCACATAGTTCATGGATCTACATACTCGCCCACTCCGTATGGGGTTACGAGGTAATAAAGCTACTAGGATATGGGGTTATGGAGCAATGAAATCACGAATCCGAATGTTTCTCCAATCATTGATTGCTCAAGACAGTTTGAAATCTCGAAAACCGCTTTCTAAAGGAGTTTCTTGATGTTACGGTTAAAAAAACAAACCAATTCTAGAATTAGCCACTTTCTTCACTGTTCGTTCATCAAGCAACTTGAAAATTTCACTAGTTATATTTTTCAAGAGGAGAATTTAAAAATTTATTTGATCTTTGGTGTAATTATCCCTTATCGGTGGAGCAAATATGACTGAAACTTTTTTAATTTTTACGTATCGGTAATGTGGACAAAAAATAATAAAAACTTGACTAATTTTGAGTTAAAATGATACATAGTTGCTCACCGTTCACGGGATGACACAATTTTTCGTGTAGTTTCATGTTAAATAGAATTTAGATTCTCATATTTTCATTTTTGACAATTTTTGGTTGGCGTAGAAAATTAACAATGGGCCTCACAAACGGTTTTATGATTCTATGGTAGGTACCTGTTAAAACCACTGTTCTATACATTATTCTACAGGGTGATTCAGTCATAATGTCATTAATTTTAACCACGTATTCGGAAGGCTTAATAAAGACAGAAAATCGGAAAAAAAAATTTTTTACTCGACTTTTAAAAATGAAGGAAATCAACCCATAACTCCCGCTACGAGGGCTGCCCTGCCGATGCCCGGATGCTCGGAAAATTTTGTAACGTAATGTCACGAACAGTTGTCGGCTAAAGGAACAGCGTTGCCAAGTTCAGGTTCAAGCTCGCCAGGTTAGTATTTGACATATAACCGACCACTTCGTACACTCGATGCACCTGGGCGACTACAGCTACTACGAAAACATAGCCGGTATTTTAGATTTTAAATTAAATTTGTTGATACGATTTTCCTTTGATAAAAGACCGACAACTTTTTGCTACTACACTCGTATTAGTCTAGGGGCTAGGGGCCAGATAGGTTTCCGTAGCCAAACAGAATTCCACGGCTGCAAATAACTTATTTTTAAGTATTTTGACTTCTCGAAACCAAAAAACTTGGTGGCAAAGCCTGAAAGTGGTCAGTTTAATTGTTGTTAACAAATTGAATGTTTAAATGGCTGTAAAAAGTTTATTTTTATAGCTAGTACAATTTTTTATCTGTTAATTATTACGTTTTCTCACAACAAACATATATTTTTTTGAAAATTAAAAAAAGATTAACTTTAACCAAAGTTATTGCAAATTTAGTGCAAATATATTACATTTTCCGTCTCTGCGCGCACCAATTTTACCATATCTCTGGTTCAATTGGACGGATTGAGACGCACATCTCATTTTAAAACTTAAACTTTATTTTACAAGATAGGTAAGTTCCATTGATTAATTAATTTATTTAAAAATTAATGGCAGCTTAGAAAGTTGTGGAATTTCAACGAAAATGTTGGCTTTATTGGTTTATAAAACTTTTTTTGTTATTCAATTTTTATGAAAAGCCAAAAAAGTTACCGGTTATTGTTCCTCGCATCCTAACAATGATTTCATGCCTTGCTTGATTGTTAGAATGCAAAGAACAATATCCGGTAACTTTTTTGGCTTTTCGTCGAAGTTGAATAATAAAAAAAACCTTGTAAACAATTAAAACCGGCATTTTCGTTGAAATTTCACAACTTTCTAAGATGCCATTAATTATTAAATAAATTAATAAATAAATAGAACTTACCTATCTTGTAAAATAAAGTTCAAGCGTTAAAATGAGATGTCGTGCGTCTCAATCCGTCCAGTAGAACCAGATATGGTAAAATTAGTGCGCACGGAGACGGAAAATGTAAGAAATTTGCCCTAAATTTGCAATAATTTTAGTTAAAGTTAATTTTTTTTTATTTTCAAAAAAATACATATTTGTTATGAGAAAACGTAACTATTAGCGAATAAATTGTACTAGCTATAAAAATAAACTTTTTACAGCCATTTAAACATTTAATTTGTTGATAACAATTAAACTGACCACTTTCAGGCTTTGCGACCAAGTTTCTTTGGATTCAAGAGGTCAAATATTTAAGAATAAGTTGTTTGCACATCTGGCTCCTGGACTATATGGTGCACGTGTGCAAATTAAAACTGGGTTAAAAGGTTACTGAACCACAGGTTATCCTAGGTCGGAAACACGACGTACCGAGTTGTTTATTTGTCTCCGTCCCATTGTTTTTTTATGGAATATACAAGTCTCTCTTCTAATTGCAGTCAATATTTAAATACTGCATACAATTTATCCTCTCTTTATAATTTATCTAGTGAGTGTTGGTTTTTTATGACATTATTTCTGTAACGAAATTGAAATGGTTATGAAATGAAATTTAAATTATTTGAACTTTTGGGGTTTTGTAACTTCAATATTAAATCTTATTTAAAGTGAAACAGCTAATTTCTTTGCAGCCATAATAGTCACATTTGGTCAGATGAAACACACTACTACCCGCACACTACTCGTCGGTGGTATAGCTTTCAGAGGAGATTCGGTGTCAATGTCAATGGCGATCGTTTAATTGGGCCGCATTTTCTACCTGAACATCTGAATGGGCCGCGTTACTAATTTTTAGTAGAATTGTTTGAAAACCTTCCCCTTCGGGCTTACAGCAAATGTTGTTAAAATATTAAAATTATGATGCTAATAAAAACTGATTTTTGGCAAGGCATGCTTAGACCTCGAGGTTCTTGCTGGGCAACAATAACAATTTAATATGTTGATTGCATAAATAAAAAATAATTTATAGCATTTTAAATTATTATTGGCTGACGTGAGCAAAACCGTTTATTTATTGTCTTTATATGAGCGAAAATATATAAATATGGCAACGTTGCATCTAGGGCGCATTGTTCATAGGTTCATATCGTAGCCGTGCATAATATTGTGACGTCAGCCGGTCAGTAACAGCCTGAAAAGGGGGTTAAATAATGATTTGAAAATATTTTTTTTCAGCTTAAATATGCATTTAAATTTTTTTTTAATCACGCCATCGTATTATACTCATTTTTCTCTACCTGCTCTTAAAATTAATGACATTATGACTGAATCACCCTGTATACAAAAGATTTGGATTTTTTGTCCTTCCTTTTTCCCTACAAGCGCAAATGTACCTAAAACTAGGGTGAAATTCCCTTGGTTGGAATCACTTGTTCAAAATCGCTACCACAAACAAAGCTAATACCTATTCTATCAGTCAGGTGTAGGTAATTAAGGCTCTCTACAGATGAGTTTAAAAACATAACCAGAGAAACATCTTGTATTAATTGCAAATATATTGAAATAAATCGTAAAATAAACCGTAATACTACCTAGTACAAACCTGAACATGAGGTTTTTGAAGAAGGTAAAAAAGTTCTTTGCAGTCGTCCGACATGTACGGCCGATTGACGAGCTCCTCCAGGACATCAGCCATGACATCCATCGATGTCGACAGCATCGGGAAGAACTTGTCGCTTGCTCCATTACTGATCACCTTGTGGTGAACGATGAATAGGGCGTGTAGTTCCTTTGATTGTAGCAAATCGCTCAGAAATCCTAATTCCTCCTCGGTCGATGGCAGGTTGCTAGCTTGCTGAAGGGACGTAAGGAGACGTGTTAAGGCTGAAAACCACATAAACGTTGAACATCTCAACGAAATGACCATTTTAAATGTTCGACATAAAAAGGAGTTATCCTTAATTATCATTCTTAACTTGTTGTGGGTACATATCTGCAAGTGACCCATCTTAAGTATCATGTTAAGAGCGCCAGACTGACGCTTGACCGGACTAACCGTTGTAAGCGCTATAGTTCCCGGAAGAGTACCACGGCAGATTGGTGCCAGGGACTGAATACATATACCTGCAAGCGACTCCACAAGAGGATTCTTCAGCGAACGCTCGCCCCGACAACATTTATTTTCACCACACTTTGTTTTCAATAAAAATACTTTTATTTTACCGTTGAGAGTTTTATTTTGATGCACACCGAAAGCAACCCTCAAGTGGTGACTTCGACGTGATACTTAAAATGGGTCACTTGCAGACAAATTCTATTAAAAAGAGAGGGCACTAACTACACATCTAGCACGCCACTGGTCGTTGTAGTGAATCGTTTATAGGTCCTCTTTAAAGGACATCATGTTGCCACAAAACGTACCTAATTTGGTTTCGTTAGTACTTACTGTTTTTTAGATATCACGAAAATAGTTTTAAAAAAATGAAATTCAACACTTTCTTCTTCAAATTTTAAATCCTCTATCAACTGTTAAAGTTGCTACGTTTAAAACGGCAACACCCTGTATAAAGAAAAGCAGAAAAGTCTGTGGCGTACATATTTTTTTTACAAAATTATTTAAGTGCTAGTTTGTACGCACACTCTTGATTGAGTACATTATTTGAATACTTAAAATATGTTTATTTTAAATACATTTCACAACCCAAATCATATAAATATTAATGGCATTTTGGAAATATTTTGAAAATGTCAGAAAATGAAACATTTTAGAATACTGTGAAATAATAGACATAAACGAGGCTGGAACGGACCCATGTTGGTAGAAACACAAGAGTTAACATTATATGAGTTTTTAAATATCGTATATACAGCGTGTTTCTGGAATAAGTGCAATCCTTCAAAGAGATACAAAAGATACAAAAAGATACAAAGGATGGAAATAAACAACTTTCGCTAAGCAGCCTGTGAACTAGTGTGTTCCAGGAAATTGATAATACATTATTACGTGAACCTTACGCCGACCCTACATCGCCCTACTAAATCAACTGATCAACTGTTTACAATCCAGTAACTAGGTCAAGTTCAGTGTGGTTATTTACATGGTGCGGATGTGATTGTGTCTTGCTTGCTCTCGTCGACAGTTAGTTTACTTTGTTTTATCTCCTCAGGTTTGTCAATTAGTTTTCAGGGCCCTGTATAAAACTGGCTAATTTTGAAAACATCGTAAGGAACCCCATGACTACTACTTTTGTTATCCCAAAAATAAAGATTTCCGAGTCAACTGTTTCCGAGGCATATTTTTGACGCTAACAGTGCTGTATGCAATTTTTTTAAATCGCATTATGTTGAAAACGGCTAATTTTAAAATAGAAAAGTTTATACAATGTGACCCTAAAATTTAACGTAGAATCCAAAAATGCAATAATATACAGGGTTTTATTAAAAATAACAAAGTTGATGCAATTTCCGGTATATGCGGAAGTGTAACAGTTTTGAAAATATTTTGATTGAAAAGTTCTTGGCCTGGGTATTCAAATTTTCAACAAAATCCTATCATAATTCGTATCCTTCTAATGAACCAATTTTGTTTAATCAATAATTTAAAAAGTTGTACCTAATAAAAAAATAATACGATTTAAAATATTTCATATATTTTATTATTTCTAATTAATATTGCCAATATGTACACTCGACGCAAGATAAAGGTTTCCAATCTGAATCGTATTTTGTTTGAAATACGATGGCTTAACCGCTTGTCTATATGGGGCGTTCCCATTAAACTCGTGTGACAATATTTTACCGTCACATCTGACATTTTACGAGTTTTGTACAAAAATGCTTTCCTGGTAGAATGGCATTTTTAAAATGGGACTAATCGACAAACTCTTATAGCCGACTCCGTATGCATTTTTTATTATCGTGTTTCTATTAAAAGAGTTGCATTTATATTACAATAGAAAAATCGATTCATCCTAGTTAATAAATCTTGCAAAACGTCTACTACCTACTTACGAATAGTTAGATTGAATGGATTTAAGAAAATTAAAAATTTTAATTTTTTTTTAATTTTGGAAATCCTGCAGCTCGGATACAGCGCACAGTGGCAAATATTGGAAAAAATTCTCGCCACTCGCCAATTTTCATCGTCTCGTCGTGATTTTTTTTTTTAATAATCTCGTAATCTGAATTTTCATATTCCGGTGAGGTTTTTTCGAAAAACTTTTTTTTAATGCTTAGGGAGCGCCCCTTATTATGACCCTTGATGATATACTTATCTGATGTTTTTTCTTCAAAAACCTAACTCCAAATATATCATCAAGGGTCATAATAATCAATTTTATTAATAGCAGATACTTCTTAAACATTTTTTTCTACAACTGAACATCGAGTATTTAAAAAAATTTTCTTCGACATTGAGGTTGGGTCGCTCCCTAAGCATTAAAAAATATAAAAAAGGGTTTTCGAAAAAACCTCTCCGGAATATGAAAATTCAGATTGCCACGAGATTATTAAAAAAAAAAATCACGACGAGACGATGAAAATTGGCGAGTGGCGAGAATTTTTTCCAATATTTCCCACTGTGCGTCGGCCTTAAAAGCCTACGTGTGTGTAAAAAAATTTACTTAATTTTAGCCACAGAATGGGCCTCTGGTTTTTCTGTACGCCATTAATGAACACTGTATAGGTGCCCTCAATGATCAGTTGAAGTTTCTTATAAAAGTTGTAAAGCACACAATTCTACATAAAAATGGCCTCTTGACTTTTTATTGTACTATTAAAATTAACAGTTAGGGAGGCTGGAACTTAAGGGAAGATTTCAAAAATTTAAAAAAAAATTATAAGCAGAAAAAAATGAATTTTGTATTTTTTTTTCAATCTACTTAAAAAATGTAACTTTTCTTTTCAGAGAAATAGATATAATTTTTAATTTTTAATAAGAAAGTTGTAACAAGTTCAAATTTTTAGTCGTTAATTTTAATGATGTAACAAAACTAAAACAATTTTTTTTCTATACTATTCCATTGATTATTTAAAATAATGAAAAGTTGCCTTCGATTTTTTTTTACGTTTGTTTTTTAGACAGATACAAATTTATTTACCTTTTTATATTTTGAATTTTATTTAGCTCCTACGACACTGCCAGGACAAAAATAAAAAATCACGTTAGCTTTGTCGCACTCATGGTACCGAAGTTGTGGACAACTCGTATGCTTATGACAAAGATAGATTATTTCGTTCGCTATTGTCAATGCGCGTGCGTCAGTAAACATGTGTTTCTTTAAATTATTGTATGCTCAATATCCATTTTTAATCTCAAAAAGGTAAATACATATTAATAACGACTAATATTTTTTCTTTTATCCTAAAACGAATGCAAACTAACCCTCATGTTCACCCCCAAAAATAATATTTCCGTGATAACTCGTTTTGTTTTTGTTTTGTTTATAAAATAATGTCAAAATAAGTAAATAAGTTCATAACACTATGGGCCCGGAAATGCTTCCTTTCTGATAGATGTAAAATTTAAAAAAATCCTGTTCTTCTAAATATTTTGAAAACAATTTAAGATATTACACTGAGCTTTGGTGTATAATTAGTACAGTGGCAGTGTAATATCTTAAATCGTTTTCGAGATACTATTTAGAAAAAACCTGATTTTAAATTTCTTTCGACATCTATCTCGGAAAGGAAACATTTCGGGACCCATAATGTCTTGAACTTATTTACTTATTTTCACTTCCAGAACACGTCCTTAAAATATTTCCCTTTCCTCCCGAAACTGTATAAGTATAATAAAACTGTAGTTTACGATATTTTTTTTATTTTGTTGCCTTCATGACCTACCTACTTTCTGCAAAATATGACACAAATTCTTATTTCAAAATATTAATTTTCTCATGGACAAGAAAAATAATGTGGCAAGACAAAATTATTTCAAAACCTGTATACTCTTCTCTTTTTATAATGCATATATGTACTTCAGACCTGCAATTTTTTGTTATGTATTGCACGTGCCTACACAAAAAAAAATGACACGCCCCTAATTATTGATGCCTCCCAAAATTCCTATTAATAGTCCACCGGCTCACCCCTGTAAAAGTAGTATGCCTTTTAGGTTGGAAATCTTTATCTTGCGTCGAGTGTACATAGTAGTAAAAAAAATTGTTGGATATTTTGTGCGGTATTGACTTTTATACTATTGTGACTTCATCCAATAGATATTTTGAAAGCGTTCAGAGCCGTACTCAGGAAAAATTTTAAATGACAGCTAAATCAAGCTAAAAACTTTTTAAGCGATTACAGCAGTAATATCCTCTAATTCAGAATTAAAAATGACTTTAGATTTTGTCATGAAAATAGCAGCGACGTATTTAAAAAAATTAACCCGATGATGGCCCCTCGAAGATGAAACGTCGGATTGTAAAAATGACGCCATAGAGCGAAAAAAGTGGCATTGTAAATATGTAATTTATTTTAAAATTCGTTTTCAAATAAAGCCAGAAAAAAATTAAACAATTTTGCAAAATTTCGGGTTTTTCCGGCTATCTCCGGAACTGCCCGGAATTTTAAAACTTTCTAAACGGCATATTGTTAGGTAAAAAAACACAACTTTTTTCTAATCTGAGCCACCCCGTATCTCTTACCGTTTCCCAGATCTTAATGCTATCCCATCCTTATCTTGGACACACTGTATATCTATGAATTCATCAAAATTAAAAAAAAAATAAAATAAGTACAGTAATCGATCCTACGAAAAAAATTATTGTTTATTTTATTTATTCACTATTCGATTTTATGTTTATAGCTATACTGTACAAAAATAAAGTTTTGGATCAAACAATGAGACACAGTTTTTTGTATTTTTTTTCCGTAGAATTAAATGGTGTAATCAGTTTTTGAATGTTTTTTAATTTAAACAAATTATCAACAATTACTGAAACATTCATTGAAAAAATGAAAAATTCATTGTTGCAACAATTACTGAAACATTCATTGAAAAATTAAAAAATTCATTGTTGCAAGTTATTTTTTAATTTTTTTGCATTTTTGAGCATGTCTTTGAAATGTGATTACAGATTTTTTTATTTCACCAAATAGTATATATCAAAACGAAAAAAATGATTACCGGCAGAACTCTGTACGATGATTTTTCTAAGTAGAATTTTTATTTGAAAAAAATTGTTTCAGGCCTCTCAGAAACTTCGTGATTTTTTTATCTAAAAAAAATTGTGATTATTTAAGACACATAAAGGTATACTTTCACCAAGTTTCGTTATTATTTTTGCGGAAATGAGAAATAAAAAACGAAAAATGATCATGATCTACAACTTTTGTATTGGATACTTTTTTATTGACGTCAACTTTCGCCAGAAATCCCAGTGATACAATTTTTCATAACTTTTTAATCCCTCAAATCAACCCTCCGTCGCTCTTGCTCACGCATTAATTTTTTTATGATTATTATAAGCCCCTTTACCATTTCCACTTATCTAAGTCCAGGTAACAATTTTCATTTTTCCCCTCTAAATCAGTTATTTCGATTGGTCTATTATACAGGGTCGGAAAGTCCCCATGGGTCATCGGCCGTTACGTGAGAGCGATAAAGAAAGTCTTAGAAATCCGTGCGATAGAGAAAGATGGCTATAATGAAGGCCTCTAATAGACACCGCCCATTTCGCCCTTCCACAAATAAGATCCACTTCTTATTTGTGGCATGACTTACTTTATCGCTAACACGTAACGATCGATGAACCACGGGGACTTTCCGACCCTGTATATAATTATATATACAGGTTGTCTCAAACATGTGTATCAAAATGAGTATGTAATTTACTTATCCAAACTTCACTCTATTTAATGCCATAATACAAAGATGTGATATCATTTGTAATATTTTCAAATATATGTAACTGAAGTCCCAATCCCGTAGCATAGCTACGTCTGTCGTATTCAATTGTCAATTCTGTTGTCTTTATTGTTTCTCGAACTATAATTTCTCTGAATGAAGCAGGATGTACTTATTGTAACCGATATTCAGATAGGCTTTACTACCAGATAAATTTTGTGCTTAATTGATAATTCTAAATACCTTTGAAATTAATGGACCTAAGATCGATGTCACATAAGCGACCTGTATTCATTTTTCGGCATTACCTATGTTACATATTCCACAATGTTCCACATCCAAAACGAAACACGTATTAAAACTGTTGCAAAATCTTTAATTTTACAACTAATCCAATACTTATAGTTCCACAAAATTTAATTTTCCGTTTACGTATCACAAATTATTTTGAAAATCCGAGTAAAATATTCACACTATACTTCTATCAAGGGCATGCTGCAGTCAACAACGATTACAAATAAAATGCCTGCAAGTTATTGTTATTTTATTGCTTCGATTAATATTTAAACAACCCATCTCAAGGAATTATCCTCGGAATTATCGATCATTTACCATTGCATTTTAAAGTTACAGCGCCAGTACGACTCCGAAATGAAAACAATCTTCGGCACCATTGTCTTTATTTTTTTATAGATTGCTTTTAACCGAGTGAATAAATAAGCATCAATAAAACACAATAATATTTATTCTTTAAAATAAACAGCTTGAAACGGGATGGATAATGTAAAAACTAAAATGCACAAAAGCACAATTTGAAAAAATATATGTTGCAGAATTATGAGATAAACTCAACATCAATAAAAAAAATAAACCAGCAAAATTGTTCAATAAAATATTAGAATAAATACAATTACAAATTATTTATTTATTTATTTACTTACACTAGGCAGCACAGGTGCTGTAATGTGAATAGGTACCTTTAGTTTCTGAGCACATATTTTGATAAATTTAAATGATATTACAGTAGAACCTCGATAATCCGAACCCCTGTAATCCGAACGCTCGACAATTCGAACGCCGTTTTGGGAAAAATAAAAATAGTATGTAATCAGAATTGCTCTCTAACTGCTACAGTAAACAGTTATATAACAAATATAGTTACCTTACTACTAAACAAACTATTTTGTACCTTTAACAATACAACGTGCTCCTCATTTTATGGGAAATAGTATGTCACTGTTCATTTTTTGCATGCTACTATGCCTGGAAAGCACTTTGTTTGGTAATCCGAACGATTCGATAGTCCGAACCACCCCCGGTCCCAATTAGTTCGGATTATCGAGGTTCTACTGTACTTTTTAAAACATTATGTGTTAAAGTGGTTGGATTTTTTATTCTGAACGAAAACATAATATGACTATCGATTTTATGTTCGGTGGCAAAACAGAAAGTTTTCCATATGACTCCCATACGTTCGCATTTTATTATACAGGCTGTTACAAATTCGTTTCTCACTACAGGGTTCTCGGAAGCAGTAAGATGTACGAAGTACCTTAAATGGGGGCAAAGTTCCGTAATCAGGGGACCAACATTATGCCTCTGAGAAATCAAGGCTAACATGATCAGTTTTCGAAATATCTGAAGAAATCCGAAATTTTGGAAATCCGTTTTTGTTTAATGTCAGCCTTATTTGAAGTGATATTGAAAAAAGAAGAACACTTTCTCATTGTCACTTTTTGCCTTCTATCGAATGGCATAATCAATTTTTATATGTAATGTTTCGTCTTTCCAGGACCATCATCAACTTCATTTTTTTAAATACGACCCTGGACATTTTATTACAATTTTTGCAAGCTTTCATGACCCCCAATACTATATCGCCTCAGTCCAAACAAGATTCAGACGTTTTGTATCGAAAAATTCATCTTCAGTGTATTCGTTCCATATTTATCTAATTTTTTTTTATTTAGATTAGTGATTAGTGATATATAGTTAATTGAACACAGAGCAATAGTAGATTTCTGACGATGAAAAAGAGACAAAGAAAATATCTCTATTAAAAAGTTATGACCAATGTTTATCCAAAAAAAGTACATTATGTAGCGCCCTTTAGCGTTTAGAGCAAGATTAACAACGGATTCGTTTTTCTCATCCCAGAAAACCCTCGAATCCTTTCCAAAAATTTTAAGAATTTTGACCAAGCTAAGTTTGGCTGCTTCGCATTATTTTATCACCAGGAAGCCAAACTTGCTGTGTCCCATTAATTTCGGGACACCCTGTATACACTACATATGTATATTACTAACTGATTATCCGGTTTTATCTCGGTACCTAGTATTGTTTCAACACAACTGATAGTATAGGCACCTAATTAGTAGAAATTTGAAGCAATATATTTGATTTACTTTATGCCCTAAATAACAAATCCGACATATATTTAAAATATAAAAACTCTCCTTGTTATTTACAGATTTGCAAGCAGATTTGTTATTTTTTGCTAGGTAGGTACTTATCCTCTTTTTTAACGAGTATGCAGATATACAGAACTTATGCACTTTAAAATAAATTTATAGTAAATTTAAAATTCACGATATACTTAAATTTGTGCTATTACCCTTACTTTAAACAGTTTCACAATCAAAAAGTATGATTTATTAGGAATATGATGCCCAAAATAGAATAAAAATCATGCATTAATTCATTCATTGTAAACATTCATATTTAATATGATAAAATTAAGTGGATAAATATTAAAGCACAGGTTGATGTCTTCAGTCATAAAAGCCAGGCATTTATTGTTATTTGACACCTAATACCTACCTAGTTAATGTACCAATGTTTAGGTACCTACCACAAAACTTTATTACGAAAAAATTCTTGTACATTCACATATCCAAATTTGAAAAATCCAAACAATGCAAATACACATACAATATTCAGGATGTAATAATTAATTGCAGTCAATATTAAAGTTATGTTAAAAACAAACCATAAGAAGCCTACTAAAGATAGCTTTAATAAGTTCAACGAAAATAAAATTGCTAACAAAATAAAACAATATCCAATGCACTCTGGGCTCACCTGGGTCCCATTTTTCCTTAGTTCCATTAGCCATCACCTCGGATATCATTCTAAAACACGAATACTTATTTTCTCTAACCATCAAACTTGACACCAATATAGGTACCTAAATGAACTAAAAGTAATCTAAATAGAACACAAGCCAAGTCGTGGTATTTCATTTCTACACACTTTAAGCTTAAAATAATAAACTGGTGAATAAACTAGAAAGAAAATGCTTAATATCTGAATTTTGTATATTAAGCAAATTTTGGTAATATGAGCCAGTAGGACGAACAAATAAAAACGGGTATCAACCTTTACAATGAAAAGGAAATTAAAAAGGAAAACGAAACGACAACCAAAAAGGGACGGGTGTAATTCAAATACGGTCAAAATACCTTTGTAAAAATATAAATTTAATAACAACATTCCTGACAATCAATCACCTCCACTTTATGTTACAATTAAAACATGGCGATTTTGACAGCTTATAGCCAGTGTGCCGGTGCAACCTTAAATATAAAAAGGTCCTAAACTAAAGCTGACCATACAAGAACAGTTCTCTTTCCATCCACACCGATTTTGTGATTCATGATAAAAATATAACTAATTAGTAAAATTGTAGAATAATTATATATTCTGTTCTAGTATTCCCACTTACCTATTTGAAAAATATGTAGAATGTTTTCCTTCAATGACAAAAAAAGTTCTCTCAATTATCAACAAAACCAAGTGCATAATTGGTTGCCTATGATTAAAGAATGTAGTATGCATTATTGTATGGAGCAAAGTAAGTTCATTATCATCAAATTGCAATAGGAACAATGGAACATAAATAAATATACTTTTATTTTTATATTGTTTGATTTTATCATAGATTTTTTTTTTTTCATTAAATATAGTATAGGTATTAACCACTAAATTTTTGAAAGAATGATGTACCTATTAATGTTAGAAAAACATTAGGAAATGATATATAAATAAATGACAGAGGAAATCATAACCATTTCAAATAAGGGACAAATAAGGGTGATTCCATTCCATAATAAGTGGAAAAACTAGAAAATCTACGGGTTTTTGACACGATTTCAGATTTTTAAATACTATAAATTTAAGGATTTTTTATGGTTTTGATAAATATGTTTATCCTTAATTAAACTTGGCTATTGTGAATCTTGTAGGTCCTAAACTATCTCCATCTTTTAGCTAATCTAATTGAAGGAAGATAATGAAACTTTTTTAATCCAATTTTGGGTTCCATATTTGCACATTTTGAAAAAAAATCCCAAACAGGATCTTTGTTGTTCATTTCATGTTTTCTTTTCATAAGTGAAATATTTTTTTGTGCTGTAGTCGTAAATAAAATGGACTGTCTGGAAAAGGTCTGTTTTTTTTTGTGATAGCGCGCACAGTTACGAGAGTTTAGTCCAACTGGGGTATCTTAGACAGTGCATGCTCTAGCTAATGTATTAGCCGAGTTTTATTTAAGTGAGATCTCAGCTATTCTGAATGCTGTTCCAATTAGGTGAGAATAACTGAGACATCAAATAAATAAAACAAAGCTCTTTATCACTATCACTGGTTTTATAAGCGTAGCTAGGGGGGAAGGGTGCAGGCACGGCTCTCCCCAGAAAAAAAAGATCTAATATTATCATCTTTGTCATATCGGTAAGTTGATGACTGTGTGACAATTTTTAATCAAATCAAAACGTGTTCAAGTTTAAGTCACTGATTGCAAGCTTTTTTGTGCAGCCCTGGGTGCACCTCAAGCAAAAATTATAGCTACGCTACGTTCAATTTTTATGAATTTTTTTTACAGTTTGCAATTTTTGTTACAGATTTATACAGATTTTTTCGCATGAATCTACAGATATGTGGGTCCACAAAGTTAACAATATTGTTTTGCGCGCGGATGTCCACACAACAATGTCTTATCTTTAAAAATATTTTTGGAACCTTAAAATTTTTGCTCAAATGATGGTAGTCGGGGATAGATTGTAGAAAAACCAGTTTTATCTCCATTCGTCGGCAGGAAATAAAACTGTTATTTCTTTGTCCCATCCCCAACTATTACTATGTAACTATTTTTTCACTTTTACTTCTCTAAGTAAATGCCCTGAAATCTCTTGTCTTGATCATCATTTCAGTAGTTTTTATATAGGGTGTTTCAATCATAATGTCATTAATTTTAAGGAAAGATAGAGAAAAATGAGTAGAATACAAATACGCCATTAAAGTTTTAAATTGCATATATACGCTGAAAAAAAAAATTTTTAAATCATTATTTAAACCCTGTTTTGGACCATCCTGACCACCGACCTACATCGAAAGTGAATCTTTACCCATCGTCCTGTCCGGTCTAACTTTAATATTCTTAACGTTTTCACTGTTATTTATGATTGATTTTTATAGTATTACATATGTTCGAGTAGATAATTATTCAGTTTGTAGTACATATATCTTATTGTATTACTTTTCAGAGATGTATAGTACATGGTTATTTAAAATGACAAAAATGTCTAAAAAACACTTACTCATTTGTCCATAAAATTTTAATAAAGTTGAGATCCATTGCACTTTGATTTTGAAAGCAATTGCAAAACTGGACGAGGCTACAACTATAGTAGGATCATATTCGATGCAAAGTAGAGCAAAAAATTGTCAGTGATTTATCAAAGGAAACTCATGCCATCATATTTAGGAAGCATAAGATGAGCCATTGCAAATTTAAAATTAAATTGAATGTAAAATGGTGTGTTCTGGTAGTAGCTGTAGTCGCCCAGATGCATCGAGTGTAGAAGTGGTTGGTTATACGTCAAATATTAACTTGGGAAGCTTGGTCGTAAATCAGAGACCGTCTCCAAAAAACAAGTAAACAGTGGCGCATATAGAGGTGACATGTAGTAAGTACATATGTGAAATTTAAAAGACAAATTGCATTTATAATTACATTTAAAATAAATAGTTTACATTTAAAATAAATAGTTTATGATCCCTTCATAATGCATAAAGAAATTATTATTCAATTTCTAAACCCCTTAAAACTGTACTGCACTGGATTCCTTGACAGGCAATGATATATTACTTTGCATCGAATATGATCCTACTATAGGAAATCAGCTGTTTCGCTATAACGTCTGATCGCTGTGCCTAAAATTAATGACATTATGACTGGGGGTATATGGGGGAAGAGATGAAAAGGAAGAATAATAAACGAAGTGAGGTCATTTTCAGTTTTTTAAATTTTTATTTACCATACAGACATAAAATAATGATGTGCATAAGTTCAAACAATGAAAAAACTCAAGGAGTTGAATAAATTAAGTCATATAAAAATAATACAAAGTAAACTGCACATGTATATTAATAACAACTTATCCTGTGTACAACTGGACCATTGCATGTAATCTCAGACTGTCTCTACGAGTAGCACAACTTGAATGAATAATAATTATTGCGTACTGACTAAAGAGGCTATTTATCATAACTTTAGGTAGGTTATGCTATGTTATATTTGAACTAACATCGAACTATATTTATAGTATACATTAAAATAAAGCTTTTACCTGAATTTTGGGTAATTACACGTCTAAAAATCTAAAAATGCCAATCTCACATTATTTTCGCTTACATAATAAAGTTTATATAAATGTAATTTACAGAGATATGAAAAAGAACATGCCATTCAGGGTGATACCATACTGAAACACATCAAAATGCACAATTTTGTTAAAAATTTAGTATCTCGGATGACATAAGTGGTCATAGTTTTTGGAAGGCACTTACTACTTCATTTTTGAACACATCTAAGCCTAGTCGTCGAACATAAGATCACTACTAATGAATAAAACGTTAGAGAAATAGATATCCAAGACTTTGCGTATAACATCCAAAGTAGTTAATAAAAGTTTAAAGGCCACTTTTTGAAAATATTTATCACCTCGCAACATGCATAAAGACAAACGAGCGTGGTAGACCCATAAATGGCAGGAAGGCATTTATAATTTCATTTAAATTGTAATATTTTCTTTCTACATTTACAAGATTTATATAAATTTTGTACATTATCTCATATCCTATATTCTAAACAAATCACAAAAATATTTTTATGTTGGCTCCGTGACTCCTCCTAAAACTAATATGAAAGAATAAACGTCTGCGGTTTTAATGTATGTGCTACTTATGGTGAACTGAGCGGCAACTTTTGACGTTGCGCAACACTTTTACGGTTCGAGTTCCACTACACTTTGTACATACACAACACCTATTTTCACTATTATTGTTACTACGTCATAACATATATGATACATTTGGCATTGCTACAGTTCATGGAATTATAGCTTCTTATCATGTACAAACTTTACTGGGACGGGTCTCCCGTGCGTTTCCCCGATTCCATACACCTTACTTCCCCAGTTTTACTCGTTTGTTTGCATGCAATTTTGATTATATTCGTATTTACATAACACACGCCTGCAAGAGGAAACGCTCGGGAGGACCGGGATTATTTAGAGATGCAGAAGCTAACGGCAGAAATTAACAAAGCTTATATCTGTACGTTTAAAATACCTATACATCTGATGTAATTACAATATGTACTAAATAAATAAAATAATAATTTAACGAGACCAGCAAGATTACAATAAAATACTGATAATCACTGACCTTCTCAAATAAGTTAAATACCAGCATAAAAAAAAAATTCATATACTTTTTAACAGTGATACGCTGCCATAGTTTGACCCGCTGAAAATGATGGAGCCGTTAGAAATGCCCCATCACGTAAGAATTTTCCCATAACCCAAAAATAGCTCGAAATCAGTGTAATTTTCGACTTTTTGTTAAAACAGTTAAGATTTTGAAATTAAACTATACAAGCGTGTTAAAACAGTTCGTAAGAGCTTTAAGTAAAGAAGGAAACTGTTTCAAATACTTAGAAAAATTTTCTCACAGCCTCCTGATCCTGACAAATAACTAAAAGAAGGAATATTTGACGGGTCCCACATTCGTACCATGTTGAATGATACAACTTTTGTTGAAGTAATGAACAACGCAAGAGCGTCGGTAAAGGGGGGTAGGGGAGGGCAGCTGACCCTCCCCTAGAAATTCGAAAAAGTATAAAAATTTTCTTAAACCAGGAATATATTGGAAATTTTTATTAAAATATTTTATTTAGTTAAACTTTAATTTTGAAAATTAAAACACCATATTAAAAAAAAAACAATGGTAGTAAATTAGTATAAATAGTTGTTTGAGAAAAAAAATTTAAAATATTAAATTTTATGTTAAGAAATAGCTAATATGCTTCTATATTTTAAAAATTTTGCTCTTGAATTTTAAATAAAAAAGAAAAAAATTATCTATCGGAGTTAAAGTATACAGGGTGTTTCTTACAGGGTTCGTAGCGGCCGGGAAAACCGGGAAAAGTCAGGGAATTTGTTATTCTTCAGAAAAAGCAGGGAATAGTCAGGGAAT